AGTTTTGCCTTAGGGCATGGCCACTTGCCAGAGGTAGACAGGCGCAGTAAGACGGAAAGTGAGAAATCACCCCATAGGGATATCCACTTCACAGTCCCTTCTCTTCCTGGAATCTTGGGCACACAGAACACTCTCCAGTGTGATTTTTCTAGCTACCAGGTTTGGGACTCAAATCACGATCTGCCATGTGGGAATGCTGCAACAAGACCACTGTGCCATCTGATGGTCCCTTTTTTCTAAATTTGAAGGGATGTGGGGAATAGGGGAGCATCAGAAAGCAAGCCTCCAGGTCTAGGACTTGAACTGCTATCAGCCATGAGGGAGTCTAGCACCTTAACCACCATGCCGCCTGCCAGCCCCAGAAAACTAACATTTTTTTAAAAGAGAATTATTTATTTAATTTTGTGTATTGTTATATTTTAATTTGACCAGACAGACGGGGGACAGCAAGAAATCTGCCAGGTCCAGGACTCGAACTGTGGTCGGCCATATGGGAATCCTGCCCCTTTGTCCACCATGCCACCTGCCAGCCCCCAAAAACTAACATTTTAAAAGTATTTCTAACACCATGTGTGGCTATTGGCTATCATCTCAGGCAGCCTAGGTCGCTGGATGTTTCCATCATCCCAGAAAGTTGTCTTAGGCAGCTTTGGTCCAGGGTAAGGCCCTCCCTGGCCCCCACAGGTGTGTGCAGTCTTCCTTTGAGAAGGCTGAATTACCAGTCTAAGCATCTTCCCTCTCGCCTCATTTGGGGAACAGACAGATCATCTCACCTGAAACATTAAGGATACTTCATTCTAAAAGCAAGAGAAAACATTACCTGATGTATAAAAAAAGTCAGTAGAGGGGACCAGCAGTTAACATAATGGCTATGTTGCTGGACTCCCATGTAGTCGACCGCAGTTCAAGTCCTGGTCCCAGTGGCTTAAACTCACGCCGGGCGCGTGTGTCCAAGATCCAGAGAGGAGAATGGAGGAGGAGGGATTGTGGTGTGGCCATCCCCCCGGTGGGGGGTGATTTCTCGCTTTCTATCTCTCTGTCTCTGCCTTTCTAGGGAGCACACACACCCTGTAACAAAAACCTCTCCAAAAAAAAAAGTATTTCTAACATTTTGGTGGCATGGTGGTTGAGGCGCTGGACAGACCTGGTGGCTTGCTTGCTTTCTTCTCTCTTCATATATCTTTTTCTGTTCAAATTAAAATAAATGAAATGAAATAATTCCAAAAAAAAAATTCTTTTTAAAAGTTTGTGAATTCTTTTTTAAAAGTTTATGGGGTTTTTTTGGGGGGGGAAGAGGAAGGTTTTTGCTACAGGGCACATGCGCTTTCTAGAAAGACAGAGACAGAAAATGAGAAATCACCCCCCCAGGGGGAATGGCCATGCTGTAATCCCTTCTCCTCGCAGGATCTTGGGATTCTGATCCCACAGGTTATTTTTTTTAATGTTAAAAATACTTTTTTTTGGACCAGCAGTTGGCATAATGGCTATGTCGCTGGACTCCCACGTAGTCAACTGCAGTTCCAGTCCCGGACCTGGTGGCTTAAAGTCATGCTGGGCGCATATGCATGCATGACCCAAATCCCGAGATTTCTTGGTTTCTGTATCTCTGACTCTCCTGCAAGCACATACACTTATAGCAAAAATCTCCCTTAAAATAACCTATGGGCAAAAAGGTGGCATGGCGATTAAGGCTCTGGATTGCAGAAGGCTTACTTCAAGCTTTGAGTCCCAGACCTAGCAGCTTGAAATTAACTCTGGGCATAGGTGCATGCTATAATCTCAAGAGGACAGTGGAGAAAAAGGGATTGCAGCATGGCCACCATACTTGGAGGGTGATTTCTCATTTTCCCTGTCTCTGTGTGTCTGGTGTGCTTATGCACCCCATGGTAAAATTTTTTTTTTTTTTAAGAATTTTGGGAACTTAATTTAATTTAATTTGATGGGATGGGTACAGAGTGAGAGAGAGACAGAGAAGGAAAGTGGGAAAGCAAGTCACCAGGTTTGGGACTCGAACTGTGGTCGGCCATGTGGGAGTCTAACACTCTGGCAGAAATCTTATAAAAACAAAACAAACCTGTGCACTGGATAGTCACCTTTCAAATTTGGTTATATAAAATATAATAGATATAATAACTCAAGTACTATATTTGCCCTTTAACTAGAAAATATGTTCAATTCTATTTGAAATTCAGGGCTCTAGAATCAGCTGTTTAGTTTCCAATTATTTGACCTTTTTGCTGAATCTTTTAATAAATTTTTGTTGCTAAATATTTGATTACTGGTATCATGTCCTTATCACACTCCTGTTCCTTTCAGCCCTTGTTTAAAATTTACCTGCTATATATAAAACCATGGCAAGTAAGGGCCTACTTGTGTGTTTACTGTTTGTGTGACAGGAAATGATAAATACTTCATTGGGAACAATAAATGTGCTTTGCTTCTTTTAGTTAAGAATTATAATTAACTTTATCTTCATTGCATGGGAATCACAAATTAACAACAGAGACTTTTATCGGGCCAACAGTTGGCGTAATGACTATGTCGCTGGACTTCCATGTTGTCGACCGTGGTTCGAGTCCTGGACCGGATGGCTTAAACTCATGCTGGGCACGTGTGCATGCATGCCCAAAATCCCAAGAGGAGAATGGAGGAGAAGGGATTACAGCGTGGCCATCCCCCCGGGGGGAGGGTGATTTCTCGTTTTCTGTCTGTCTTATCTGGTGAGCCCATGCACCTTATAGCACAAACCTCTCCAAAAAAAAATACAGGCTTTTATAGTACGTAAACTGTTTTTGGCCCAACTGTGGTAGTGTTTGCTGGTTGATACTGCTGTATGGCAGACCGAGGCCATATGGAAGGCCTGGGTTCGATTCCTGGCTTACCGTACAAGCTGGATATGGGGGCATGAACCTATATAGTTGCAGAGGCAGGAGGATCGTAACATAGTAAGAGCTATCTAAAAATGTCAAACTTAACTACTTTTAGGGGTTTATTTGGCAAGGGCTTTGTAACAAATAGGAACACAAATAGGAACACTGCTCCATGAAGTTCCTCATGCCTTTAGTTGGATGATAAAGGGAAACGAATGTCATATGAGAAAAAACAGATTTCTTTATCTGTGAAGTGTCATTTTTAGTCCTAAATATGTTTGATAGGATGATTGAAATGGCAAAGGCTGTCAACGCTTCTTATTCTAAGCTGTTGTCAGTATAATTTCTAGTTGTCTTTTAGGACCAAGTCATGGGCTTTAACTAGTTTGGGTTAGGGTCCCATACTTTATTATAACAACAACAAATCTGTTTGAATTATTTACTTGAAGTCTGATTTGGGGTCTTACCACTGTTTTCTTTTTGGAGCCACTTTATAAAATCTGATCACCTAGAGTCTAGTAGCTATTCTATTTGTCTCGTAAACTTAACCACCATTGGTATTAGGTACTAGAATTGTAAGTCAGAAGGCAAGTTTTCTCTAGGTAGCTGACCCATAAAGTTAAATTTAGGACGATTCAGTGTTTTTTATTATTACTATTATTTGATAATGACCTTAACATAGAGCTTACAGAGACTTCTTTAAAATAAGTTTAGAGGTTTGGGACCTTAATTCTTTTTCAGGTGGAATACTCTTCTAACACAGTTGTCTAGCTGAGAGCCCATTGTTAAGCAACTGGGACATCTTTGGGACCTGGTTGTATTGCTGTTTGTCTGTAGGACTTTGTTAGCTGAGCATTGCCTATATGTTCTGTTTTCTCTGTATGTGTTTTCCTTTTTAATTTCTGTGTATATGTATTTACTTTTCAGTTACTGTTGGGAATTATTTGCTACTGTCTGAGAAATTTGTCCTAAGTCAATTGAACACAATATCTTTAAAACATACATGTCAGAGTAAGCTAAACATATAAATGGTAAGTCACTCTCAATCATGTGCCATGATTGAGATAACAGGTAGAATTTAGCCCCCAGTGAATCACAGGTCAAGACAGAGAAGATGGCTGTGAGTCAGACCTTGGAGGGTTGTGTAATAATGCGTGCCAAATAGGAATGAGATTAAACTTTTCCAGCCTATGTGTGCAAAGATGAGCTTTCCAAGCTACATTTTTTGTGGTCAGATTTACTTAACAGTCTCAAATATATGTATATAATGTTTCCCTAGAATTGTTTGTGCAGTAGGGGTTTTTTTTGTTTATTTTTTTCTATTTATTTTTAGAGATTTTTGCATTAGGAAGCATGCATTTGCCAGAGAGAAACAGACTGACACGGTGAGAGGGAAAGTGAGCAATCACCCCCCCTGGGGGTGCTGCAATCCCTTCTCCTCCACACTCCTCTTAGGATTTTGAACATACACACACAACGTGCCTGGTGTGATTTTTCAAGCCACTAGGTCTGGGACTCGAATCATGGTTGCCCTTTAGAGAGTCCAATGATGTAATTATTAGGCTATCTGCCGGTCCCTGTCTTTTGTTCAATTTTTAATTGAAATAGCTTTTTTTTTTGTCTGTATTTTTAAATCCTACTTCTGGGTTGACGACCCAGATTTCTGTAGTTTTTTTGTTTACTTCATGTACATATACATCCACAGTTTTTGTTAGAATACTATTTAAAATGATTCTTTGTGGGGTCAGCAGGTGATGTAGTGGCTAAAGTGCTGGGGTCCCACATGGCTGACAGTCCAGATCCTTCACATCAGGGGCCTAAGCGGCTTGCTTTCTCACTTTCTCTATTTCTCTCTCTCAGCACATATACCCCATTGCAAATTTAAAAATAATGTATGGCAATACAATTAATTAAATGATTCTTTTAAAAAAATTTTCTGTGAGCAGTTTTGGTAAGTATTGGTTGATGATGGTGGTGATATTGACTGGTCTTGCTAGTTTATTTAGGTCTCATGCATTCATTTAAAAGGCAAATGTAGAACACTTCAAAGCAGTACCCTATTTTAGGGAAGGGTTTGCTTATGTACTATTTTTATGCACAAGTAATTTTGTATTGTCTTCTCTTTTTTAGGAGGAGAGCATTCCCATTGCTTTATCTGGTAGGGATATCTTAGCTAGAGCAAAAAATGGAACAGGCAAGAGCGGTGCCTACCTCATTCCCTTACTTGAACGGCTAGACCTGAAGAAGGACAATATACAAGGTTAGTTGGAGAAAAGTTTGTTTTAAATTTAAGATGGTGGTTTAGTGGCCAGCAGATGGTGTGGTGGTTGAGTGCACTGGACTTCCACATGGCCGACCATAGTTCAAGTCCTATTCTCACTTTCTCTCTCTCTCTCTCTCTGGTTAAGTCAAAATAATGATGAATAAAATAGAGTAAAATATTTATTTTTAAAAATAAAATGGTGGTTTAAATATTGATGCTGTGTCACCTTTCGTGAGATAGGTAGAAAAAAGTATTATTACCCAATAAACTAAGATCATGAGAGGTTCATGTTACTACTTATAAACTGTAGAATTAAGTTTTATTTCTTGTGCCAGTTGTGTGTGTTGAGTTCCTTATAGAAACATGAACTACTTGGGACCAGCATTAGCATAATGGCTATGTCGCTGGACTCCCACGTAGTCAACCGTGGTTCAAGTCCTGAACCCGGTGGCTTAAACTCACACCGGGCGTGTGTGTGTGCGTGCCCAAGATCCCAAGAGGAGAATGGAGGAGAAGGGATTGTGGCGTGGCCATCCCCCCTGGAGGGTGATTTCTCGCCTTCTGTCTCTCTGTCTCTGTCTGGTGAGCGCACGTACCCTGTAGCAAAAACCTCTCAAAAAAAGAAAAAACAAACATGAACTACTTTTGTGTAAGGGCTTGTCAGTTTGTAACTCTATGAGCTTAGGCAGTGGGGAAGAAATAAATTTCTCTAGGTGTACCCAGGGCAAGCTGTTAATATTAAGATTTCACCTCTAAAGCTTTTCTTAAATTTTCAGCTTTCTTGATCTGTAATTACCATTTCTGTTGACATTCATATGACCTGAGTAAGTAGAACCTAGGCAGCAGAAGTTTCCTGTTAGTGAATCTCTTTACTGTCAAATGTAGTTAGATCTCTTAGATCTATTAAGTTAATAAACTTTCGACTGTTGGTTGCTAGATCAAAGAACCCTTTAAAGGTTTGTACTTAGAAAATTGCAGGGCCAGCAGGTGGTATACTGGTTGTTACGGTGGTGGGTCATACATGGCCGTGTGCACTGTTGAAGTCCTAGACCTGGCTGCTTAAAAACACGTCAGGTGTGTGTGCATGCTATGCCCAAAATGCCACGAAGAGAGTTGAGGGAAAGGGACTATAGTGTGCTTATCCCACCACCACCACTCTGCTCTCTCATTTTCTCTCTCTTTCTCCGTCTCTATCTGGCAAGCATGCATACCCTATAGCAAACTTAAAAAAAGAAAAAGTGTGTATGGGTGTACGAACAGTGGGGCTGGTCCCATAGCTTAGTGGTTAAGGGAGCTGGATCCCACCTGGTCAACCGTAGTGTGAATCTCAGCCCCGGTGGTTTGAAAAATATACCAGGTGCATGTGCATGCATGCTCCAGATATTGACAGGATGGAAAAAGGGGTCACGATGTGATCATACCCTTTGGGTGGGTGTTTTTTCCTGCTTCTGTTTCTGTTAGCACTTGTGTCCCTTGGCTATAAAAAAAAAAAAGTAAAGAAGGTCTGGTAGGTGGTGTGGTGCTTAGGTGCGTTGGACTGCTACATGGCTGACCATGGTTCGAGTCTCAGACCTGGCAGCTCTCTCTGCCCCATTCTTCCCTCCCCTTACCACCCCCCACCCCAGTCAAATTAAAATAAATAAAGTTAAATAAAATAATTCTTTAAAAAAGGAAAGAAAAAGGTAGAAAAGGGTACAGTATTTACATAGTATTGCTAGAAAGTCTGAATCTGGAATGCTACAGTAGTTTCTCCTTTTTCTTTTCCTCTATATGAGAGGCAGTGGAAGGGAAAGTCTTTCTATGTGGCAGTTCTCCTGCCCCAACCTCCCATTGAGCTGGGATTAGAGGTATGTATACAGAGCAGTGCATTAGGCTAACCCAGGAAGGAAACCTGCTTTTCCAGTGTAGCTTCCAACCTCCCTTTGTGTCACAGCAGCTGGTGCTATTTGTGTATTTATTTACGGATCAGCCCATGGTATGATGGTGAAGGTGGCTGGATCCTACATGGCCAGCAACATGGTTCAAGTTGGCTTGAAAAATACCCTGGGTATATGTACCCAAAATCCCTATTGGAGAAAGAGAGGAAAAGGGATTGTAGTGTTACCATTCCCAATCCTTTGACACCTGCCTTTCTCCTACAAATATGTGTACCATGTATACATTATTTTATATATATATGTGCATACACATATATACTTTTTTTTTTTTCATTTATTTACTTGTGTGTGAGAGAGCAGTGGTGAGACAGATGGTCCCAACAGGTATATCTTCACATTGCAGTCTATCCCCAATCTCAAGGTGCCTAGATCATGGGCACATGCATGTGCCTGGTGTATTCAAGGTGGTCCTGAGATTCAAAGCTAGGACCATTGCCATGTGGGGACATGTGTCCATTTGCATCACTGCTACACCATAACCTGTTCCTCAGTGATATTTGTTCATTTGATTTCTCATAATGTTAGGCTTATTATGATTCAGATTTTTAAAGAATTATTTAATTTTGTTTATTGTCTTTTTTTTTTTTTTTAATTTTTTTTTTTTAACCAGAGAGAGGAAAAGTGAGAAAGCAAGTCGCCAGGTCCGGGATTCAAGCCGTGGTTGGCCATGTCGGAGTCCAGCACCTCAGTTACTACATGACCTGCCAGCCCTGTGATTTAATTTTTTAATAAATCACATTATCTGTGTTAAGGAGCAAATATTTTTCTACCTTTTTAAATTTAAAATGTGATATATTACTTTTTCCTCTGTTCTTTGTTTTCCAGCAATGGTGATTGTTCCCACTAGAGAACTTGCTCTACAGGTCAGTCAAATTTGCATCCAGGTCAGCAAACACATGGGAGGGGCCAAAGTGATGGCAACCACAGGAGGAACCAATTTACGAGATGACATAATGAGGCTTGACGATACAGGTAGGAAATGATTGATTTACGGTAGTGTGGCTCGCTGCAGTTTAGTCACAGGTGCTTCCTTTCAGTTAATTGTTTTTAAATGTTTTTAAGAATCAAAGAACATGAGACCAACGAATTGTGTAGTGGTTACGTCATTGGACTCCCCACGTAGTCAACCACAGTTCGAGTCCTGAACCTGGAGGCTTAAAACTCACACTGGGTGCGCGCGTGTGTATGTGTGTGTGTGCGCGCGTGTGTATGTGTGTGTGTGCGCGCGCCCAAAATCCCAAGGGGAGACGAGAGGAGAAGGGATTGTGGCGTGGCCATCCCCCTGGGGGTTGATTTCTCACTTTCCATCTCTGTCTCTCTAGCAAGTGCATGCACTCTATAGCAAAAATCTTTCTTTTCAATTTTATTTATTCATTCATTGACAGAAAAACTTCAGTAGGAAAATGAGTAAAGGAAACAGCCATTTGAGGAAAAAAGGCAAATGGTGGTAATTGAAAAGATATTCAATCTTTACATTGTAAAACATAAATAAAGGTAGCAATTATGTGGGTTTTTTTATTATTTATCTAACTTTATTTGTTATTACTTATTTTTCAATTTGCCCAGAGAAAGAGAGGGAAAATGAGAAAGAAGTCATCACATCCGGGACTCAAACGACAGTCGGCCATGTGGGAGTCCAGCACAGTAACCACCATACCACCAGCCGGCCCCACAACTGTGTATTAACTCTACCTATCTAATTGGCAAGGCTCAAAAGCATTAGTAACTAATTGTGAATTTGGGAGAAAATAGGTTATCTTGCGACATGAGGGTTTAAATGATCTGTCTTGGACAGTGTGGTTTGTAGTACTGAAAAGTTGTACTAAACTAAGTTTCTCAGGACTGAGTATACGAATTTTCATAATCTATGAGAAACCGCAAAAGCAGTCATAAGAGGGAAATTCACAATTAGTGTGCATAAAAAAGATGGGGAGGTAGCAAATAGATAACATCATGCCTCAGAGAATTGGAAAAATAGCAATTAAAAATCCAAAAAATTCCAGGAGAAAAGAAATAATAAAGATTTGCCCAAAAATAAATGAAATTGAGAATAAATGAGCCATATGGAAAGTAAATGAAAAGAAAACCTTTTTTTTTTTTTTTGAAAAGATTAAGATTGACACACTATTAGCTAGACTGATTAAAAAGAAGAAAGGAAACAAGAATTTGCAATGAAACAGGCAATATTACAACAGACACAATAGAAGTAGAAATCTTTTGATCATGAGAGGATACAGTTAGCGACTATAAGCCAAGAGAACCTGGAAGAGATAGACAAAATCCTGGGCACATATAGTCTACCAAGATTAAATCAGGAGGACATAGAAAGCCTGAATAGACTCATAATAAGCAATGAGATTGAATCAGTAATAAATAATCTCCCAACAAAGAAAAGTCCAGGCCCTGATTGCTTCACTTCTAAATTCTACAAAATTTTTACCCTCATTCTACTCAAGTTATTTCTAAAGATCCAAAAGGAAGGAATCCTTCCAAACTCATTTTATGAAACCTCTACCATCCTCACCCCTAAAACAGATAAAGGCATGACAAAAAAAGAAAACTACAGACCAATATCTCTGATGAATTTAGATGTGAAAATTTTCAGTAAGATACCTGCAAATCGTATCCAACAACATATAAAAAAGAATGCATCATGACCAGGTAGGCTTTATTCCAGGGATGTAAGGGTGGTTCAACATATGCAAAAACATAAGTGTAATACACCATTTTAACAGAAAGAATGATAAAAACCATATGATATTTCAATCGATGGCAGAAAAAGCATCAAAACACAACATACCTTTATAATTAAGACTCTAAGCAAAATTGTCACGGGAGGGCCATTTCTCAACACAATAAAGCCATATATGAAAATCCCATAGCTAACATATGGAATGGGGAAAGGCTGAAAACTGATACAAGGCTGCCTACTTTAACTCCTTTTCATTAGTGCTGGAAATCTTAGCCAGAAAAGACAATCAGAAAAGAATAATATAAAAGGCATTCAGATAGGCAAAGAAGAGTTGAAAAAATCCTTTATTTTCAGATGACGTAATGGGATACTTGAATGACCTAAAGGTTTCCATGAAGAAACCTTTTGAAGTAATAAATGAATATAGTAAAGTGTCAGAATACAAAATCAACATCCAAATATCGATAGCTTTTTTAACTTTATTTTTTATTTATTTAAATTTGACCAGAGAGAGGCAGAGAGAAGGGGATGGAATGAGAAAGCAAGCCGCCTGGTCCAGGACTTGAACCACTGACAGCAATGTGGGAGTCCAGCGCCCCCAACTACCACGCCACCTGCCGGCCTCAATAGCATTTTTATATATGAACAACCACCTGAATGAGGTAGAACTGAAAAAAGTAATCCCTTTTACCATAGCCACAAAATGTGTAAGATACCTATGGATAAACCTAACTAAGGAAGTCAAAGACCTTTTACAAGGAAAACTATGAAAATCTGAGACATTGACAATGACACAAAATTGTGGAAGGATGTCCCATGTTCCTGGATTAGAAGAATTAATATAATCAATATGGCAGTTGTGCCCAAATTAATCTACATGTTTGGCGCAGTTCCGATCAAATTACCAGAGACATTCTCACAGATCTAGACAAGGCAATCATAGCATTTGTCTGAAATCATGAAAGAACCTGTATTATCAAAGCAGTCTTGTGCAAGAAGAGTGGTATGCTTGGCATCTCACTCCCTGGCCCCCAAATATTTTATAAAGCTGTGATAAAACAGCATGGTATTGGCACAGAAACAGGCAGATGGACCAATGGAAGGCAAAGGATATCACTCAATCTATTGGGAAAAGGAAAGCCTCTTAGCAAATGGTGCTAGAAAAAACTGGTATCCACCTACAGAAAGATGAAACTGGACCCCCATCTTTCACCATTAACAAAAACCAACTCATGGGTCAAAGATTTAAACCTAAGACCTCAAATTATAAAACTGGTGGAAAACACTGGAGAAACTGGGAGACACTGGGGCATGCAAATACTTTTTAAGTAAGACCTCCAAAGCACAGGCAGTAATCCCAAAAATAGACAAGTCAGATTACATCAGATTAAGAAGTTTCTACACAGTTGGGACCAGCAGTTAGCATAATGGCTATGTCGCTGAACTCCCATGTAGGCAACCGTGGTTCGAGCCCTGGACTCGGTGGTTTAAACTCACGCCGGGTGCATCTGCGTGCATACCCATGATCCCGAGAGGAGAATAGAGAAGGGATTGCAGTGTGGCCATCCCCTCTGGGGGATGATTTCTCACTCTGTCTCTGTCTTTCTGGCGAGTGCACATGCCCTATAGTAAAAACCTCTCCAAAAAAGTTTCTGCACAGCAAAAGATGCAGTAATTAGTGTGAATTGATAACGCTCTGAATGGGAGAATATTTTTGTAAACTATGCCTCAGATACAGGACTGATAAGTAGAGTCCACAGGGAACTCAAGCAGCTTACTGGGAAAAAAATTATTAACCCAATTAAAAGATTGGAAAATTAACTGAATAAAAGCTTTAAAGTATATACAAACAGCCAAAAAGCATATGAAGGAATGCTCAATGTAAGGGAGATAAAGATTAAAACCACAGTGAGATACCACCTAACCCCTGTCAGAATGGTGAAGATTAAAAGTACAAAAGGGACCAGCAGTTGGCATAACTGCTATGCTTCTGAACTCCCATATAGTTGACCATGGTTTGAGTCCTGGACCCAGTGGCTTAAACTCACGCCGGGTGAGTGTGCGTGCATGCCCAAGATTCTGAGCAGAAAATGGAAGTGAAGGGATTGCAGTGTGGCCATCCATCCACCCCAGGGGTGGTGGTGGTGGTGGTTTCTCGCTTTCTGTCTCTCTTTCTGGCAAGCGCTTGTGCCTTATAGCGAAATGAAAAAACCTCTCCAAAAAAGAAAAATACAAAAAATGTTAAGTGTTGGCAAGGTTGTGGTGAAAGGAGAACTCTTCTACCCTGTTGGCGGGAATGTAAATTGGTCCAGAAACTGGAAAGCAATATGGAGGTTCCTCAAAGACCTACACATACAACCACCACATTATCCAGCCATTCCACTCCTGGGTATCTACCCAAAGAACAGGAGAATACTCATTCAGAAAAGTGCTTGCACAAATAATGTTTATTGTGGCATTATTCCTTATTGCTAAAACATGGAACCAACCTAAATGCCCATGAACAGAAGAATGGATTGAAAAAGTGTGTGACACATACATTCCATGGGATATCATTAGGCCATATAAAAAAACAAACAAAAAAACCCCCAAAAAAAACAGTACCCTTGGATTTGGTAGAAAGTGGATGGATATGGAAGATCTATTGCTGAGTGAAGCAAATCAGGTTATGAAAGAGAGACATTCATGTCTCCACTTAACATACACTGACTGTTGGCACTCTATGATAGAGACTGAAAGATTGGGGGGGCATAAAACCACTGAAAATAGTTATCGGTACTGGGTACAGTGTGGAAGGAGGTTGGGAGAGGGAAGAATGTAGGGAAGGAAATTCGAGAGAAAAATAGGGAAATAAGACATTCGTGGGACACAGAAACGGTTTATTACGTGTTGACGTGGATACTCGACTGGTCTTGAGGTGTATTTCAGTGTTGGGTAAATTCTTTCTACAAGCTTAATGATGTATGGCAATTGAATATATAAAAATAATAACAAAATTTTTAAAAAGTTTCTCAGGACTTTGGTTAAATACTTTGGGAGTATTTACAGTTTGAATGGCATTCCACATTAAGTCCATTCAAGAATGAAGCAGATCCAGGGACCAGCCGGTTGCGTGGTGGTTAAGGCACTGGACAATCCCACATGGTTGACCGCGGTTCGAATCCTGGACCTGGTGGCTTGCTTTCTCACTTTCCTTCTGTCTCTTTTTTTCTGTGTCTCTCTCTGGTCAAATTAAAATGAAGGAATGAACAAGTAAAAATTAAATAATTCTTTTTTAAAAAGAATGAAGCAGATCTGTAAAGAGAGCTCCATAATATATTACTAAATGAAAACAAAGTAACATAACAGCAAGAAAGAACATTTAAGAGGCAAGTCGCTGGTGTGGTAGTTAGGTGGCTGGATCTAACATGACCAACTAGGTGGTTTATGTCCTGAACCCAGGACTATCAAAGTAGTATTCTGTGTATGTGTGCTCAAAATCCTGAGAGGAGATTGGAAGAGAAGGGATTGCAGTGTGGCCACGCCTCCCAAGGGGTGCTTTGGGTGCTTTCCCACCATCATCCCCCTTCTCCACCCAGCAAGCACACATGCCATGTAGCAAAAATTTTTTAAAATCATCTACATAAAATTATGTATAGATTTAATCAATTTCATGTGGTAATTATCATGTGATTAAGGTTTTTGGACTACAGTTTAGTTTTGTTTTAGTTTGCTATAGGGTGTGGGCATGCCCGAGAGAGAGAGACAGAACACACCTTCTCCCTAGGGGGCTGGTCGCACTGCAGTCCCTTCTCCTCTTCTCTCTGGATTTTGGGCATACATGCACAGGTGCCCAGTGCGTTTCTCAAGTCCTCAGGTCCTGGACTTGAAGTGCACAGCCAGCCATGCGGGAATCTAGCTACCTTAGACACCACTCCATCTGACAGGCCTAGCAGTGGTTTTTGTTTGTTTTTAAGTTGCCAGAGAGTGGGTGTACTCACTAGAGAAAGAGAGAAAGAAAAGGAAAATGAGAAAGTAACTACCCGTGGGGGATTGCCATGCTGCAAACCTTTATCCATTTTTTCTCTCCTGTTGGGATTTTGGGCATGCATGCACATTAAGTTTTTCAAGTCACTGGGCCTGGGTCTCAAACCATGCAGTCAACCATGGAGAGCTGCTTTTACCACCACGTCATGGGCTGGCCCTGGACCATGGTTGTTTTAAATGATTATCTTGTTTGATCCTTAAAACAATGTTCTGAACACCACTATTGTAGATTAGCGGCATTTCTGCCATGTTAGAAGCTTGATGGGCCTTCTGTTATTCTTTGGGGATGTCCTGAGTACAAATGTATGCCTCCTGTTTATTGGAAGTAAGTGATTCAGGAGGAGGTAATCCAACAGGTGTAGAAGTGAAATGTATTGTCTTGCCATTCAGATAGGGTAATGGAAATTCATATTCTAAAACACTTCTGCATGGTTTTGTGTTACTTCTACCTCTATTGTAGAGTTTCTGATAAAGAGGTATGTAGGTGAGCCTTTATAATACCCTTTTTGCCCAAGCCAAAGTTAATGAAAATATGTTTTCTAAATCTTGTATAGTGCATGTGGTGATCGCTACCCCTGGGAGAATCCTGGATCTTATCAAGAAAGGAGTAGCAAAGGTTGATCATGTCCAGATGATAGTGTTGGATGAGGTAATGTCTCTTACCCATGTAGTATTTTGTGTTGTTCTGTGTGTTATATATCATAACTGCTACTGAATGGAGCAAGTTGTTACGATCCTCTACAAAAACACATAATGATGGGCCAGCAGCTAGCACGGAAGTTAAAGGCACTGGATCCCACATTGCCAACTTCATGGTTTGAGTCCTAGACCCCACGGCTTAAGAACCATACCCAGTGCATGTGCATGTATGCCCAAAATCCTGAGAGAGTGAAGGAGAGAGGATTGTGGTGTGGCCATCCCCCTTAGGGAGTGATTTAGAGGTATGTAGGTGAGCCTTTATAATACCCTTTTTGCCCAAGCCAAAGTTAATGAAAATATGTTTTCTAAATCTTGTATAGTGCATGTGGTGATCGCTACCCCTGGGAGAATCCTGGATCTTATCAAGAAAGGAGTAGCAAAGGTTGATCATGTCCAGATGATAGTGTTGGATGAGGTAATGTCTCTTACCCATGTAGTATTTTGTGTTGTTCTGTGTGTTATATATCATAACTGCTACTGAATGGAGCAAGTTGTTACGATCCTCTACAAAAACACATAATGATGGGCCAGCAGCTAGCACGGAAGTTAAAGGCACTGGATCCCACATTGCCAACTTCATGGTTTGAGTCCTAGACCCCACGGCTTAAGAACCATACCCAGTGCATGTGCATGTATGCCCAAAATCCTGAGAGAGTGAAGGAGAGAGGATTGTGGTGTGGCCATCCCCCTTAGGGAGTGATTTCTCACTTTCCCTCTCTCTGTGGCAAGTGCACACACCCTTTAACAAAAACTTCAAAAGAAAAAACAAGCCAGAAAAAATAATTAATGGTCAGTTTAAACTAATTTGCCTATAGAATATATTTTGTCTTTTAAAGTCAATCAGTGATAGGCACTCATGGGAGTTAGCCTTATTTCTTTCTCAGGGATGCCGTATAGCTTAGTTTTCATTTTTGTTTTTCAAAAAGAGTTGCTGGAGGGACCAGCAGTTAGCATAATGACTATGTCGCTGGACTCCCATGTAGCCAACTGTAGTTCGCATCCCGGACCCAGTGGCTTAAAGCTCACGCCAGGCGCATGTGTGTGCGTGCCCAAGATCCCGAGAGGAGGACAGAGAAGGGACCGTGGCGTGGCCATCCCCTTGGGGGGTGATTTCTCGCTTTCTGTCTCTGTGTCTCTCTCTGTCTTTCTGGCGAGCGCATGTGCCCTGTAGCAAAAACCTCTCAAAAAAGAAAAGAGTTGCTGGATAACTTCAAAGCCAAGTTCATTCTAAATCTGTCTCTGTTCAGAAATACATTTTATAAAACCACATATGTCTTTAAAACCTCTTCATTTCTGTGTATATATTGCTTTGTGTTACTTAGTTTTTGTTTTCTGTTAAATGTATTACCTCACCAGGTTATAAGTGCCCTTGAAAAAAAAGGGAATTTATTTATTTATTTATTATCATTTCTTTAATCTGACCAGAGAGAGAAACAGGGAAAGAAAGCAAGCCACTAGGTCCGGGACTTAAGCCATGGTTGGCCATGTGGGAGTCCAGCTCCCTAACCACCACACTTGCCACACTTGACCTGCCAGCCCATAAGTCCCTTGATTTTTTTTTTTTTTTTTGGAGGGGTTTTTTTTTTTAGGGGGCTGCGCTCCCCAGACAGACAGAGAGAGACATAGAGACAGAAAGCGAGAAATCACCCCCCAGGGGGGATGGTCATGCCGCAGTCCCTTTTCCTCCGTTCTCCTCTTGGGATCTTGGGCATGCACGCACACGCGCCCGGCGTGAGTTTTAAGCCGCCGGGTCTGGGACGCGAACCACGGTCAACTACATGGGAGTCCAGCGACATAGCCATTATACTAACTGCTGGTTCCCCCCATAAGTCCCTTTTAGTCCCATACTCAACTCATTCCCTGGGACCTTGCAGTGTTTTATGTATCATTATTAGTGAATATTTTGACAAAAGTTACTTCCTTTTAGTTTTTTTTAATTAAAGGATTATTTTGTTTAACTTTATTCGTTTATTTAATTTTGACCAGAGGGACAGAGCGAGAGAAAGTGGGAAAACAAGCCTCCAGGCCCAGGACTCAAACCGCAGTCGGCCATGTGGGAGTCCAACGCCCTAAACCACCACACCACCTGCTGGCCCCACTTACTTTTAGTTTTCTTATTTTCTTTTTTTGTATGTTTTTTGTTTCATGAATGAGAGACAGCACTCTCAGATAGGGTCTTGACATTTTAGTCCACCCCAGCTCCAGCCAGCCCCACATCATGAGCACACATGACCAGCCTAATCAGAAAGTCTCTGATAGCTCCCTGGTGCCCCAACTCACATTATTGCTTTTGCCACTGAACTACTCTCTGGCCCCTCCTTTCCCACTTGATTTTTGTTTTATTTAATTAGTTTGTTGATCATGATCTGATTTTTTTAAAATTAATTCAGTCTGTTGTGTGTGTGTGTGTGTGTGTTTAAGAATTATTTTATCTTTTATTTATTTTGACCATAGGGTAACAGAGTGAGAGAGTGGGAAAGTAAGAAAGCAAGCCGCCAGGTCTGAAACTTGAATCACTGTCAGCAAAGTGGGATTCCAGCGCCCTTAACCACCACGCTACCTGCCGGCCTCTGTTGTTATTATTTTTTAATTTGACCAGAGAGAGAGAGAGGGAAAGTAAGAAAGCAAGCCACCAGGTCCGGACTTGAACCGTGGTCGGCCATGTGAGAATCCAACGCCTTTAACCCCCATGCAACCTGCTGGCCTCATCATGATCTAATTTGGATTAAATTCTTTTCTTTAAGTAATGACAGGCAATTAACATTTGTTAATCATCATATGCCAGCACTGAGTGCTTTCACTTTTTTTTTTTTTAATTTGTACAACAACTGTGTAATGTAGGTATCCTATAAAATAGTTCCTACAGTATGTAGATATCCCAGTTTACACTTTGGGAAATTACAGAGTGGTTAAGTAATATCCCACCACAGCTAATACATAAAAGAAGAGTTTAACCCAGGTAATTTGACTCTACAACCTGTACTTCTAAAACTCTCCACATAATACCCCTTTAGCATGCTAATCACATTAAAATTTTGTCATGGGAGTAAGGGTTTTATTAATCTAGAATTGTTTTCCCTGAAATACGGGGATTGTAAACGTTTCCTAGACTCAGGAACTTCGCACTGGTGCTGTTGGATTCTGCACTTTTTGAGAGAACTTAAACGTAACTAGGACCATTGCATGGATGGGTGGTTCCTTGGGGTTTTTGTCCATACATTAACTAAAGGCTTTAGACATAATTTCATTGTTTTAAAATTTCCTTCTTTTTGTACTATAGGCAGATAAGTTGCTATCACAGGATTTTGTGCAGATAATGGAGGATATTATTCTCACGCTACCTAAAAACAGGCAAATTTTGCTATATTCTGCTACTTTCCCTCTTAGTGTACAGAAGTTCATGGTGAGTATAAGTCTATTTAGAATTAGTGCCATCTTATTGCCTTTTAATCCACTTACAACTTAACATTGCATATACTTTCTGTTGATTATATCATAATTTTTTACTTTTTCTTCAGTTGGTAAGTTAAGAGTTATATATAAATTATCTGATTTTTTTTTAAAGTTATAATAGTAATTTGTTTGCATTATTTTTTCATGTAGCGTTGGTAATAGGCTAGCATAACTATTAATGCTGGGTGCATTGATCACTGCCTTATTCTATATATATGATGTACAAAATAATTGAATTTTAAGACCTTATCTCTATGACAATTTCTTTCTTTTATAGCACAGATTTTATACATGTCTTGAAGAGAGATGCATTTCTTACAGAGTTTATCAGACACCTGTATGGGGGTGTATTTTGGATTAAACTGCTTTCATTTGAGTATATGATTCTTCTTTGTTGCTTTTTCTGTTTTCCCCAGAATTCCCATTTGCAGAAACCTTATGAGATTAACCTGATGGAGGAACTAACTCTGAAGGGAGTAACTCAGTACTACGCATACGTAACTGAGCGCCAGAAAGTACACTGCCTCAACACACTTTTCTCCAGAGTGAGTAGGAGGCTGCCACTCTAAATACTAGCCATTATGACATCCTAGTGGGACAGATAATTGCTTGAATTTCCTACCAATCTTCCCTGTGGATAAAAGTCTTCAATGTTTCCTAAAAGGCATTTTCAGGTTTTTTTTTTTTTTTTGGAAGGGTTTTTGCTGTAGGGCGTGTGCACTCGCCGGACAGACAGAGACATAGAGACAGAAAGCGAGAAATCACACCCCAGGGGAATGGCCATGCCACAATCCCTTCTCCATTCTCCTCTTGAGATCTTGGGCACACATGCACACGCGCCCAGCGTGAGTTTTAAGCCACCGGGTCCGGGACGCGAACCGCGGTCGACTGCGTGGGAGTCCAGCAACATAGCCATTACGCTAACTGCTGGTTCCCCAGTTGTTGATCTGAGGTAGATCTGTATGATTGATTTTTTTTATCTTACCCTGAAATAATTTTACCTCAGTTATAGTTATTCACATGATGAATTTGTCTAGTCACTAAAATCTATTGGTAACCCCAAAAATCAATATTAAAAGACTTTCATGGTCGTTTATGAGTATACACAGTGTTGTGGGAAAAGAAAGACTCATCTGACATTCACATTCCTAGCTAAGGTCTCCTGTTCTGAACAAATTTGTTTTTCACAGCCCTTATATAATGCCACATTTTTCGCATTGTTGTACATTTGGTTCTTAATTTTGTTGTTTAAAATAGCCCCTCTTCGTAGTGCTAAGGAGTTGCCCAATGCTAACCTCAAAAAGGCTGATAGGCCTTGCAGAGAAAGTGTGTGTTAAATAAACTGCATACAGGTATTAGTTATAGTGGTGTTGGTTGTTTTATGTATGTTAAATACAATATTCTCCAACATTTGGAAACACATAAAACAAGCTTCTGTGTACATCTCTTGGCCAGAAACTTGTGACTAGAGGCTCCCAAGAACCTCATCCTTTATTTTCTGTTGATGCAAAGATTCTGTATTTGCTAATTCCGTGTTTGCCCTGACTTTATAGAATATAACTACTATGAATAATGAGAATTAACTGTGTTTTATCCTTGCCGGCAGTTACGTTGGTCTTATGAAATCATAGTTCTACAGTAAAACCTGAAAATCATCTGCAACTATTAAATAAATATTTAGAATTTTTGTGACTTTCCATTTCATATCATGAAATTCTAGTTTTAAACCATGTTTTTGATGCTGCTTGTTTGCTAGTCAATGTTTTCAAGATTCAGAAAACCAAATGAAAGTTTCTATTTCTCTTTCTCATACCTCTTTTTCTTGTGCTCAGCTTCAGATAAACCAGTCAATCATTTTCTGTAATTCCTCTCAGCGAGTTGAATTGCTAGCCAAGAAGATTTCTCAACTGGGTTATTCTTGCTTCTATATCCATGCTAAAATGAGGCAGGTGAGTGTAAAACTAGAACTTAAAAGATTTAACTAAAAACCTTTTGCTAAATATTTCTTGGATTTTGTATATTTATTTTTTTGAGATGTTTTTGCTATAGGGCATGTGCAGTCACCGGAGAGAGATAGAGGCAGAGAGACAGAAAGCGAGAAATCACCCCCTAAGAGGGATGGTTACGCCACAATCCCTTCTCCTGTCGGAATCTTGGGCACTTACATACACACGCCCAGTGTGAGTTAAAGCCACTGGGTTTGGGACTCAAACCGCAGTCAAGTACATGGTAGTCTAGCAACATAGCCATTACACCAACTGCTGGTCCCGTATATTTCATTTTTTTAAGCATTATGTTTTGTTTGTTAGCTTTATTTATTTATTCATTTATTTTAATTTGACCTGAGAGGGTCGAAGAGAGGGAGAGAAAGTGGAAAAGCAAGCTGTCAGGGCCAGAACTCGAACTGTGGTCAGCCATGTGGGAGTCCAGCGCCCTTAACTATCATACTGGCAGAATTATATCTATTTATTTAATTTGCTTCTGGGCATGTGCACTCACTGGAGAGAGACAGAGAAAAGGACAGTGAGAAATCCCCCAGGGGAGATGGCCACACCACAGTCCCTTCTCTTCCATCTCTCCTTGGGATTTGGGGCATAAATGCACAGGTGCCTAGAATGATTTTCAAGCATCCAGGTCTCAAACTGAGGGTCCACCATCTGGAATCCAGCTGCCTTAACCTCTGTGCCACCTATTGGCCCGGATTTTGTTTTGTTCTAATGCTTCTCCAAATGTCCTGAGTTGAAGGATATTCCTTAATGGCCATAGGACCATTTAAGTTTTGCTCTAGGGTGTGGGTACATATGTGCTCCCAGGCGTCGGGGGGTAGGAAGAAAGTGAGAAATTGCCCCCTAGGGGGATTGCCACATTCCAGTCTCTTCTCACTAGTCCTCTCAGGATTTTGGGCATGTAGTTCCTATGCCCAGCATGTTTTTCAAGCCACCAGGCCCAGATGTCAAACCACACAGTCAACCATGTAGTATCTAACTTCCCAAACCTCTGTGCCACCTAACGGGCCATAGACCCATTAGAGAGGTTACAACATTTTCTAATATTACAAGGGCAGTAGTATATATTTATACTTCAATGGATTGTTAGGAAGATTGAGATCATTTATGAATGAGTACTTTGTAAGCTATTGAGTAGGATACAAAGGTGAAATTTTCTACTTCTCTTCCTTCCTCAAGTAAGTGTCTAGGTTTGCCCTGTTCATGGTAACTACTAGTCACATATGGCTATTTAAACAATTTTTTATCCAACCTGGTGGCACAGTTAGTTGCAAAAGAACTGCAGTGCAAGAAGCCAGGCCACATGACTGCCCACAAGTTCGCACCCCCAGCTGGCCTGAAAACACTCCAGGTGCATGTGCATATGCCCAGAGTTCTGAAGAGCTGAGGACTAGGGAGAGGAGAGTGAGCGCGGATGAGACACCCTATAAAGACTGTGTGTTTTCTCTTTTTTCTCTTGCACATGCTTGCATGATGAATAAAATTTTTAAAAATTCAGGTCCTGGGACCAGGTCATGGTTAAGGCTCTGAATTCCTACATGGCCAACCACAGTTTGAATCCCAGACTCAGGGGCTTGAAAATCAACAATATGTGCAAGTGTGCCCATGCCTAAAATCACGAGAGGATGGAGAAGCCATTGGAGCATAGCCATCCCCCTGAGGGGTGATTTCTCATTTTCCCTCTTTGTTTTACAGTGTACGCATGTGCCCTATTGCAAAAGCCTAAAACCAAAACTCAGGTCCCCTGTCACATTACCCACATCTCAGTTGCTCAGTCACACCTGTGGCTAGTGGCTACTGTGTTGGGGAGTACAAGTACAGGCCGTTCACTCACTATGAGGAGTTCTGTTAGGCTGCACTGAGCTTGATGTTTAGTTTGTTTATGTGCCTCTTAGCTGATAGGGTTTTTTTTTCTTCATTATTTCCCCAGAAAAGGCAGGCAGTTCTAAATTTCAGAATTTGAGTTAACAAAATATTGGTAGCTTGTGTCTATAACTTTTTTTTGTTGGTAGCTACAACCTGAAATTTCATAAGAAAGCAGTTTGGGCCAGATGAAACAAACATGGGGCTAGCAGGTGGTATGATGCTAACTCTGACATGGCTATCTGGTTCAAGACCCAAACTCTGACTTGAAACTCATGGGGGATGCCTGTGCATGTGTGCCCAAAACCCCAAGAGGAGAATGGAGAAGGGGTTATGGCTTGAACGTCCCTTCTTGAGGGGTGATTTCTCACTTTCCCTCTCTCTTTGTCTCTCCAGAGAGTGCACACACCCTATGTGGGGGGGGAATAAGGTGTATATTTGTGTGACACACACACAGCAATAATGAAAACGTGGGGAAAGACAGAGAAATAGCAAGAAATCACCCCCCAGGAGGGATGGCCACACCACAATCCCTTCTGCTTCATTCTCCTCTTGGGATCTTGGGCACGCATGCACATGCACCCGGTGTGAGTTTAAGCTACTGGGTCTGGGACTCGAACCGTGGTTGGCTACATGGGAGTTCAGCGACATAACCATTACACTAACTGCTAGTCCCAAAGTGTGAGACTTTCTACATCCAGTTAAACTGTCTTTCAGAAATGAGGATGAATAAAAACAGGAAAAAATGTTTCTGTAGACTAACAGAGTTTAATTTCCATTTAGTTTTTTTGTTTGTTTGTTTTTAATTATTTTAGTTTTATTTATTCATTCATTTATTTTAATTTGACCATAGAGAGACAGAGAGAGAGAGAGGAAAAGTGAGAAAGCAAGCCACTAGATCCAGGACTTGAACCACAGTCGGCCATGTGGGACGGTCTAGCTACTTAACCACCATGCTACCTGCTGGTCCCAGTCTCATTTAGTTTGTGGGTTTTTTTTGTTGTTGTTGTTGGGTTTTTTTAGCATTTTTTTTTTAATTTATTTAACTTTATTATTATTTTCACATGAGTTTTGACAGAAAGAGAGAAAGAGAGAGAGAGAGAAGCTGCCAGGTCCGGGACTGGAACTGTGGTTGGCCATGTGGGAATTCCAGCACCTTAACCACCAAACCACTTGCTGGCTTTCTCATTTAGTTTTGAAGCTTAGTGTCACAGATCCTTTGTATGAACAGATTTTGGGGATAAGGAACTAAGTGGATAGACACCAGTAGAAGAGTTTAGGCTTTATGTGAATTTCAATCAAGTGAAATTTATTGCCTTTTTTCCTAGGAACATCGAAATCGTGTATTTCATGATTTTCGAAATGGCTTATGCCGCAATCTTGTTTGCACTGGTAAGTAGTTTTGTATTTCCTTTACCCATTATTTTTCACCTTAGTTCTGATTTTTTTTTTTTCTCTTTATGCACCCTGTAACATACTCCAGTGCACCCCTACCACTGCTTTTTCAAAATTTGAAAGAATCATGAAAAGGACTATAAAATAGCTTACATATTTCTTGCTTATTTCTCTGCCTCACATCTGAAAGTGCGATTAATGTAGCTATGACTTAATACATTTGGTAGACCTGACCTTGAAATACATACAGATGGTTTCAGAGTCTAATTATTTCAGGTTTGTGCCATTTACAGTGTGTGAGCTCACCAGAAAGCGACGAGAGAGAAGGAAAGTGAGAAATCCTCCTCTAGTGGAGATAGCCATGCCACTATCCCTTCTAGTGGAGATAGCCATGCCACTATCCCTTCTCTTCCATTCTCCTGTCAGGAGAGGACCCAGTGGCTTGAAAATCTAGATGCTGTGTGTGCCCAAAATCCAGAGAGGAAAATGAAAGAGAAAGGTTTGCTGTGTGGCCAACACCCCTAGGGGGTAATTTCTCATTTTCCCTCTTTGTCTCTCTGGAAAGCCTGTGTACCCTAAAAAAGAAAGAAAGGAAAGGGGTAGGGGGAAAGTTCATAGAAGTTGAAGATCTTTTGTCTGAAATGCTTAGGACCAGAGATGTTTGAAATTTCAATATTTTTTGGATTTTTGTGGGACCCAAGTCTAACCAGAAATTCATTTATACACTTTATTTATACACAGCCTTGAAGGAAATCTTAGACTGTATTTTAATACTGCCTATGTATGTCTTTATCCATGACATACGTTTTTTTGTGGAAACAGATAGCGGATTTCTATTTTTTAAATCTGCTCTGCCAAGTTGTGTCTCTTGATTGTAGAATTTAATCCCTTATCATTCAACATTATTATTGATATTCCTGGATTTGTTCTTACCATTAAGTTGGCCATTTTCTTGGTTGTTTTTTGTTCTCTAATTTCTGTTTGTCTCTTTAGTTTTCCTGATATAGTACTCCCTTCATAATTTCTTGAAGAGTTAGTTTAGTGTTGGTATATTCTTTCAGTTTTTTTTTTAATTTATTTAACTTTATTATTATTTTCACATGAGTTTTGACAGAAAGAGAGAAAGAGAGAGAGAGAGAAGCTGCCAGGTCCGGGACTGGAACTGTGGTTGGCCATGTGGGAATTCCAGCACCTTAACCACCAAACCACTTGCTGGCTTTCTCATTTAGTTTTGAAGCTTAGTGTCACAGATCCTTTGTATGAACAGATTTTGGGGATAAGGAACTAAGTGGATAGACACCAGTAGAAGAGTTTAGGCTTTATGTGAATTTCAATCAAGTGAAATTTATTGCCTTTTTTCCTAGGAACATCGAAATCGTGTATTTCATGATTTTCGAAATGGCTTATGCCGCAATCTTGTTTGCACTGGTAAGTAGTTTTGTATTTCCTTTACCCATTATTTTTCACCTTAGTTCTGATTTTTTTTTTTTCTCTTTATGCACCCTGTAACATACTCCAGTGCACCCCTACCACTGCTTTTTCAAAATTTGAAAGAATCATGAAAAGGACTATAAAATAGCTTACATATTTCTTGCTTATTTCTCTGCCTCACATCTGAAAGTGCGATTAATGTAGCTATGACTTAATACATTTGGTAGACCTGACCTTGAAATACATACAGATGGTTTCAGAGTCTAATTATTTCAGGTTTGTGCCATTTACAGTGTGTGAGCTCACCAGAAAGCGACGAGAGAGAAGGAAAGTGAGAAATCCTCCTCTAGTGGAGATAGCCATGCCACTATCCCTTCTCTTCCATTCTCCTGTCAGGAGAGGACCCAGTGGCTTGAAAATCTAGATGCTGTGTGTGCCCAAAATCCAGAGAGGAAAATGAAAGAGAAAGGTTTGCTGTGTGGCCAACACCCCTAGGGGGTAATTTCTCATTTTCCCTCTTTGTCTCTCTGGAAAGCCTGTGTACCCTAAAAAAGAAAGAAAGGAAAGGGGTAGGGGGAAAGTTCATAGAAGTTGAAGATCTTTTGTCTGAAATGCTTAGGACCAGAGATGTTTGAAATTTCAATATTTTTTGGATTTTTGTGGGACCCAAGTCTAACCAGAAATTCATTTATACACTTTATTTATACACAGCCTTGAAGGAAATCTTAGACTGTATTTTAATACTGCTACATTTTTTGCCTGTTAACCCATCATATGAGGTCAGGTGCAGAATTTTCCAGTAGCGGCATCATGTTTTCACTCAAAAAGTTTTTGAATTTTGGATTAAAGATGATCATCCTGTATATGTATGTGTGTTGTTTTGTTTTTTACTTTTTCCTGTAGGGCAAGTGTGCTCACCAGAGACAGAGAATAAGAGAGAAAGTAAGAAATCACCCCCTTGGGGGTGGTCAAACTGCATTCCCCTCTATGTGCCTCTGGGGATTCTGGGCATACATGCAGTTGACTGTGTGGGAACCAGCTTCCCCAACCACCACAACACTAGCTGGCTCTATATGTATAAATTTTATACTTATATTTCTTTTATATATATTTTATATGTGTTTTTCCTGTACTTGGGTATATTGTTTAGAAGAGGAAATAGTTCCTCAGTGAAATACTGAGAGTTGTTAAGCAAATTTAGAGTTTCTGGCAGACAGGTGCCATTTGCTATTAATTGTTCTTCTATTAGAGAACAAAGTTTTGGGGGGGTTCAGCCGGTAGCATGGTGGTTAAGGTGACTTTTTCTTTCTTTTTTTTTGGATAGGTTTTCGCTATAGGGTGCGTGTGCTCGCCAGACAGACAGAGAGAGACATAGAGACAGAAAGCGAGAAATCCCCCCCCAGGGGGGATGGCCACACCACAATCCCTTCTCCTCCATTCTCCTCTTGGA